ATGAATCTGCTGTATTCGTCTCCGGGAGAACGTTGCTAAGCGTTGTTGTTAAACAACGTCGGACATCTTGGGAGAGATCGGCCATCTTGAGTCTTGCGATCGGATGTTTTCCGGACGCCATGTTAGATTTGGTCCTGTGCTGTCGTGCCGTGAGGACGTTTCCTCCGACGGCTGGCTATCCGCGACTAATTCGAGTTGTCTTATTGTACAATATTCTCCTTTACGTGTTCTTGTTATTAAAGTTCTTTCACATACGTAGGATATCGAGGAATCTCGATCGGAGAACGAACTCGCTGTTCCTATTCCGCACGCGGAGTCAGGATGACCGGTCGGCGTCGAGAAAGCTCGACGGGGTGGCGAACTCGCCAACCCACGGTCCATCTGATCGGAGCGGTCGGATGGTAGACCGTTTACTCGAGAATCCTCGAGGAGAGCGGCGAACACTCCGTTCTCTGTTTCTACGGTCGGAAAGGTTGAGAGGAAGCGCAAACGATGCGGAGTCCGAGAATGCTCGGCGGAGGCTGCGTACTCGTCAACCCCACGTTCCGTTGTATTTGCGTGTATCAGGATCGGTCTTGGAATATCTCGTGCTTACTGCTCGAACTGGATCAGGTACCGGTCTGGTGCCAGGATGTACAAATGCTGCCGTTATATAGCGTCTAACGGTAACCGCGTCGTTCGCCCCGGTGGGGATAACAACGCGTTGTTTTCGGCGGTTAATTAATACGGTAAACGCGTCGTTTCCCCTGGGCGAAACGACGCGGCGTTTTGGCGGGTGACGCTCGGGATCTTCCGGCAGCATTCGGCTGTGCTCGGTTTTTCGTATAACGGCGTAACGGCGGCCGTATAACGGCCGTACGGTTGTTTATCGCAACGGCGGTAATTAGAGTATTAAAAAGGGCGTTCGGCGCCTCTGCCAATGCCCGGCTGGTGTTCGCCGGGCGGCAGACTACCGGCTGGTCTACTTGCCGGGTAACGATAGGGGGTGCATCGTTACAATACAAATAATAAATTATTTATATCTAAATAATTATTCATATTTACTTAATCCAAATATACTCAAACGTATATTCAAGAAAAGAAAATACAAGACACAAAAAATTAAATTCCGAAAATTAAAAAATTTAAAGTTAAAAAATAAAAATTCAAAAATTAAGGTTAAAAAAATAAATATAAAAAAATTTCGTGTGCAAAAAAAACTTAACGCTGTTATGTAAAGTTATTTTAGTTTGTATTATATTTTATTCATAATGTTAATTTTAATTTTAATGTTAATGTAATTGGAATAACAGTGCTAAGTTTTTTCTGTACACGAAAATTTTTTATATTTATTTTTTTACCCTTAATTTTTGAATTTTTATTTTTCCAACTTTAAATTTTTTAATTTTCGAAATATAATTTTTTGTACGATCAATTTTAAGTTCTACACCCTCTCTTATGCCATATACATATAGTTTATTGCATTTTATTTGCTTCTGCAAATAGAATAGAATACAATCTTAAATAAATAAAAGAATGCAACATTTCACAATTTTAATATTTTCTGCATCCTATATTAAATAGATCTACTCAAGTTATAAAAAATAATTCAACTGAATATTATGCGTTTTTATAAGTATATTTTTCTAGATTTATTTAGCGTGATTTTTCTGATTTTACTTCTTTTTTATGCTAATATTTTAAGTTGTTTTCTCGCGTTATTAATACAAATAAAATGTAATTTATAAATATAATTATTGAGAAGATAATATTTTTAATGACTATACTTAGCGCTTTTTTTTTTTTTACATCTGTGATGTCCTTTTTACACGGATTTCAATTTATTGGATATATTTTTTCTTTTAATATCGGAAATAAATAAATTTTATATATATAGCACAAATTTCTAAAACTACTGTAGCAATCTATCGATAATTATAGTAATCAGAACCATTAAATTTCGTTTCGGTTACTCGAAGGTACTAGCGCCAGCATCCCGTTGTTTACAATTGTAAGGACAAGTGTTATGTGTTTTAATCATTAAAATTTTTCTCGAAGTAAGATTAAAAAACGTTTTTCTTATTTTTATTGATAAATCTAATATATTAAAATTAAATTTGAAAACGGCAGAACATTAGTTATTTAATCTTATTTATCCGTTGAGTTTCATTGGATCGTTTGGAAAATAACGTCACTAATTAATTTAATTTTATTGGCTACAAAATATCCACTGGACTTAGTAAGGTATCTTCTATGTTATTTTTTAGAGCTATAATATTTTCGAGACAAACTTTGAAATTCGGTCTATTATTCGTTGGATTCCAGCAACGCAGCATTAATTCGTACAAAGTCGATGGACAATTGAGAGGTATCGGCAATCTGCCTCCAGCGCGTACATAATCTATCACTTCCAGATTAGTTCTACCAATGTAGGGATGGTCACCCAATGATGTAATTTCCCACATTAGAACCCCAAATGACCAAACATCGCTCTGAGAACTAAATATTCCGAACACCAGAGATTCTGGTGCCATCCAGCAAATAGGAAGCAGACCTTGTTCTTTCTAAAACATGTGATTTTAGTAAAGTTAATCTTCTAGTTCAAGTTTTCCATTTTTAAATTATTTGTGCTAAAGCGAAAAACGTTCACTTATCTCTTACTTTATATAAATAGAAATAATTTATTTTGCCTAAATTCTCTATTTTTAAAGTAAAAATGTACTATGTTATTACGACAAAAAGAAGAACACACAAATATTTCTAAAAAAATTTATTTTTTTAATAATTGTATTTACCTTACGGTAATAGTCATTCTTGTAAACATCTCTAGCTAGTCCAAAATCGCCGATTTTGACAACACGGTTCTCGCGATCTCTTGCGGATACTAAGCAATTTCGACACGCGAGATCTCTATGAACGAAACGCAGATTTTCCAGGTAGCAACAGCCTCGCGCAACATCTTCGCACATGGTGAACAAGTCTTGCAGACGCAGAGCGTGCGAATCTGACGGTTGCAATTGTCGACTATTTCTCAAATATTGTAACAGATCACCAGTTTCCATTAATTCCAACACGATTAATGGAGAATCTTTGTCTAAGCAGACAGCCAGCAATCTTAGCACATGTTTATGTCGGAAATGATTCATAAGCCTGGCCTCTTCTAAAAACTTCTTTTTTTCTTGGGAGGAAGCATTATTTCGAAGTTTTTTTATGGCAACGGGTACCTCTATGCCCGGTCTTTCTAAATTCTTTACTTTTCCTTGAAACACCTACAAAATATTTAAAACTAATTTAAATTTATACTTTTTTAAAAATAAAAAACGTATAGTTAAAAAATATGTAGTCTAATGTCAAGTGACATTATATTTTATTTTGTATTAAATTATGCCTTAATTTAACAAAAAAAAAAAATACATAGAATTATGTTACCTCACAAAAATTTTGCATTATTTATAATTTCTTATAAAAAGTTATTTGTGTAATTATTTTTATCGATGAATGCGTATCTATGTCAGTTTCTGTTGGTCTAGAAATTAATAGCATATAACATTTCATCGAAAAAATTAGTATTTACCATTCCGAATGCGCCGCTACCTAAAAGTTTTTCTAGTCTGATTTGCTCAAGTTTGATTTTGATCAGTACATTTTCATCCGAATTATATTGCAACATAGGACTGTATAACGTATTGAGTTGAACATTAGTGTTAGGTATCTCATGTAAAATCGCTAATTCGATGTCAATCATCATTGGAGGCAAAACTTGCTCGTTACTTTCTTTACGTTGTCGATATACTGTTATAAAATCACAATTTGCTTATTATATTAATATGAGTTGCAAAATTTACATCGCTTTTTCAGTAAATAAATTAACTTTTCTTAGAAAACCTCAATATATTATAAAACATTAGATATAACCTTTTTCTGCAATTAAAGACCTAAATTCGTATTAAATATACTTACAATAATAAAAGTAGTAGATGTAGATTACAGTAATTATAGCGACAAGGCTTAAGATGAATGGTAGGTAATATTGCATAACTAATATTCCAGGAGTGCTTGAAATTTCACCTTTATTATGCAAAAATATACTCTCTTAATATCTTCATCTTATTTAGAAACTTACTTCTATTCATAATCCTATTATTAAAAATTACTAGCTTTAAATTTTGTTAACATTTTTATCTCAAATAAGCAGTGTTGGGAAGTAATGCGTTACTTATAACGCCGTTATCGTTACAATTACTTTTTTTTTGGTAACTGTAACGGTAACGGTGTTACAAATTTTGTTTGTAACGGTAAAAATAACTTCGTTACATTTTTCGGTAACGAGTAACGAATTTAACAGTTACTCTTATCGTTACTTTTTTCGAATTTGCTCTTATAATCTTCATGCAAACAAACATATTGATAAGAGTGTTGCAATGCAGCAGTTTTCATTACATGAAAATTAAAAGAAGCTCTTTTTGGTATCTTGTTTCTTTTTACTTTGTAAGGCGAGTAGCACATATAAAATAATGTTAAAAAATTTTTAGTGTTTAGTCTAAATTTTTAGTTTAATTTGATCTTGTATTAAAAAAATTATACGTAAAGTGTGTACTATATATAAAAGAAGTAACGAAAACTGTAACGATTCGTTATTTTCTAAGTAACGGTAACGAGTTACTTTTCAAAATTAGTAACGGTGATGAGTTCCTTTTAAAAGTTGGTAACGGTGACAAGTTACTTTAAAAAAAAAAGAACGGTAACGATAACGAGTTACTTTTATAAAGTAACTTTCCCAACCCTGCAAAAAAGTATATAATATTATAATATCTTCATTTGCTTACTTGTCATAGTTGAAAAAGTAAATCTTCCATCGGACGGCCATATAAAGTCTGTCTCGTACTTGGGGTATCTCAGTATCAAACGAAATTCGTATAGAGTTCCTGGTAGTAGATTTTTTATATAGTACATTACTTTTTTCTCATTATTCGGCTCAAAGTTGTTTGCAATTTGCCACTTCTGCATCTCAACATTTTTGTATTCCAATATGTAATGAATTGTCAAATTAACGCTAGGAATCCACGAGATATTCATACCGTTTATGCTAACCTCGTTCAAAGTTATATTGTTTGGTTCCGAATATACGTATAAGGTTTTGCTCAAACTGTTAGTATAAAGATCGCTGTAGTTGACTGGATGCATGCGTACATATACCCTGTATTTCTGTCCTGGTATCAAAGGTTCGATTATTGTGAAAAATTTGCTATGTATCTTATGTTTGATTTTATTTATAAGTTTATTTGACTCGTGTATTTGTCGCGTATTGTTTACCAAAATAATTAACATCCAATATACTTTGTAGGTCACGGGGACGCAGTTCAGTTTCTTGGGTGGCATCCAACGAACTGCCGCTTTAGTAGGCGTTAGAACCTGAACTGTCACATTTTCCGGTTTATTAAGCTTGCTCGGTTTAGTTCTTAGTATCATTTCTGAGCCAAATAACGGGCCTATCGATAACTGATCAGAGTAAAAATTGCTTATTACTAGCAATAACTTGTACTCTGTAAGCGGCGTTAAATTCTGAATTTTGTAATATTGCTCGTACGTCCGCACGGTGAAATTATCGAACTTGTTAAGCTCATTATCCAAACAGTGGCTTATGTAGATGGTATATAGAGTGGTAGGTAAGTTGTATCTTTTGCATCCACTCTTGGGGACCGGTTTCGGAAGATTTACGATGATGCTGTTCGTCGTTACCATTACTGGTTCTACGTAGTAAACTTTTTTGTCCGGTGTCAGACATTTTGTCGGAGGATACGATTGCAAAGATTTACCGAAAACATGAGTTTTGAGAATACCGAAAGACGGTTTTATCTTTTGGATGTATTTGAATGCGTCTACACTATCGAGAAGTGCATATTTTTTTTTTAAAGCATACAAATAATTATCGCTGTTATATGTAGAAAAGTAAATGTTTGTCTTATCAATCGCTAAAAATGATTTGAAGTATATTTCATTACCAATATTTTTGGTTTGTAAAATTAAATTGCACATAGAAACATTAATGTCTGTCACAATCAAAGAAGCACTCCATAGCCAGTAAATTAGCGGCTTCTTAGTATTCATGTCATCAATTTTCATGAAAGAAGAATATGATAAATCGAGTGAAGAGGGGCACATAATCGATAAATTTCTTTGAAATCTTTGAGCGAATTTTCCATCGAGATCCGATCGCATTATCTTAGCAAGATAATTTGTGTAATTTGTCCAATATAAATTTCTAAAAAATATATGCATTATTATACTTATTATACATAGAATATAGAACATTATTATAACAATTTTTATGTATCATATAATGAATATTTAAAATTCTTATAATTAAGTTTGTGTTAATTTATTATTTTTTTTATAACTTTTGATCTTAATTACATAGCCATGAAATTATTGGAAAAATTCAAATTAGTACAAATCTTTATTGAAAATATTTTTTATTTATTTCAAATGAATGAAGGTTAACATACCCTACAGACGGTAGTATAGTTAAAATGCAAGGTAAAAAATCGGATTTTATTTCCAGAATCTTATCATATTTGACTATGCCATTTTCCCACATTGTTAAGTCGAGCTTTAATACGTCGCCAAAAGACAAAAGACTGTCTGATCCTATCCAGTACAGATTTTTTGCTACCCAGTCGATACAGAGATTGCGCGCAATACTTCGAAGCTTAGCTATTTTTGTAATATTGTTTTCATTCATCTCCAATATCATTAGGTCCCTCATTTTATTGCTCCAATAAATTTTATGTTCCGCTATTGAATAAGTGACATCTACCACATCCCTTTGCTTAACGAGTCCAATGTTGATTTTTGAATCCAGATCCCATATATTAATACCATTTTCCGATACAATCAATAATTGCGGTATTGGATTTTCATGCGTAGTCGATACATCAATTAAATCGGTGTAAGGGCCAGCACCAACTTTAGTATGTGCTTGTACTTGAAAGTAGTACGTCGTATTAGGTTTTAGATTGTGCACTGTGCATTCCAATGTTGTTGCTGAAATACTTTTGTCGTCGCAAATTTGAATCCGTTTTTGGTTCTCGATGAACCAACACTGCACTGTGTATCCTTGTATTACTTCGTCTGTAGATTCAGGTAGGTTCCATCTGTAACAAAAATGAGATTTTAGTTTATTTATATTTAGTAAGATTATAACAGAATCAATGTTTTTATGTATGTGTCGTTAAATTTAAAAGAATACAGACTGAGAATTTAGATTTTTTACCTGAATGTCGCAGAAATGTCGTTTTTCTCGTTTAGGAATCCATTGTAGAAATCGACAAATGCTCTGGGAAATGTTGGTTTGCTCAAAATACTTTCTAGAAATTTTGCAATCGCACATATTGGCATAATTATATATAAGAACAAAAGTTAAGTTGATTACATCAGTAATTCAGAAAAAATCAATTGAATGTAAAAATAAAAGCAAAAAAAAATAGAGATAAATTGCAAAATGTAGAAATTAGCACAGCAAATGTTGACTTTTAAAATAATAAAATAATATCAAAAAAATTACGTGTTTTAAGACTTAAAGATGTAATTTAATTCAGAGCAGAGACAAATAATAAAGTATAAAGCGTCTTTCGGAAATTTTTTATTGATTAAGAAATCAAAAGTATAATATTTGCAATTGTTAAAAAAAATAAATAAACTAGCAAAATTAAATAATGAAATTGACTGCTTTGTATTAAATTTTGATTAATTTGACATACAATATGTAGATTTTTCTTCCTCTTTTTAGAGCAAAATGAAATTTATATTCTTCTCGCTGTTGAAAGATATTGTTACATCCGCTGGTTCGAGATAAATTGAAACGCACAACGCAACCGTTTAACACTCGCAAATCGTGTCATTTCCGCACCCGAGCAAATAGTAGAACACTTCTTTAAGAAATAATAATAACTTTATTAAAGCAGTAACACAATAATGTAATATAACGATATGCGAACGTAAAAGACGGAATTGTCCAAAACACGACCGTACTGCTTGACCAGCTATCAAAAATCTAATATGTCTGCCGCTGTTTATCAACATCACATGACAACGCTCCTGGAGACGATCCTCCTTTACGATCTCGCTTCAGATCGATCGCCTTCAACGCGATCGCGTACAAGCATGCACGCAAAAACGTAACATTGCTCTCCCTCTTCTAAGATAGTCATCCCGACAATCAATGCAGAAGGATAACAAGAAAATCCCAAAATTCTTCAAAATATCAGTTCCAAGTCACACCAAGGTTTTTTGTGTAATTTCCTTTTTATCCCAAACTATTGCTCAGGTTACCGAACTGCACGCCGTTTTCATTCCATTGCTTCCTCTGGAAACTGGATTATAGTCCTTCTTTTAAAAATCTTTAGACAAGAGAGGGGGTATCTTCCGTAGATCCAACATCCTGTAAAGACTCAAGTCTCGGCATTTGCCCTACGACCCAACAAGAAAACCACTGATCAAAAACCGTGGGTGAAGCAGTCTTGCGAGATCAAGAGTTGCAGTCTTCCGAGGAGTTTCTCCATATTTCTTTTCTTAGCTCCTCTTCATGTTTGTTACTCTCTAACCGCCTTTACCTTTAGAATAAAATTAACTTACAGAAATAATTACATACAGAAAAATTTTAAATAAATACTACAATTTTAAATAAACACTTTCAAACAAACAATAAGTTTAAATGGAATTTAAATATGATTTCCATTCCGACTAACATTACTATTCTAAATGTCTTTCATAAAATAAAGCTTCTTCTGAATAAAGAAAAGATTTCTGAATAGAATAAACCACATCATTTAATTTTTTAATCACCTTATAAGGTATCTCCCAATAAGTTTGTAATTTTGAAGCTTTGCCTCTTTCACGCCGAGGATTATAACACCAAACTTTCTGACTAATCGTAAAATTGACTTCCCTAGCCTTTCGATCATGGGCAGATTTTACTTTTTCTGATTTGATATCAACTGACTCACGAACAGCTTCATGAATTATATCCAACTTTTTCCTCAAATCCAAAACGTGATATTCCTTAGATAAATGACTCTCCTCCCCAAGAGAAATTCTCCGTAACAAATCCAAAGATAAATGTAAATTTCGAGGGAAATAAACCTCCGAAGAAGAAATCTTAGTGGTTTCATGTTTAAAAGAGCGATAAGCGTCAATAAAAGCATTGATATCCAACGATCTCAGTTTTTCTGTGAAGGAATAAACTTCGTTAAATAATTAAGAATCGTTCGCCGCTGCTTCTCTACCTATCCATCCGACTGAGGATATAAGGTAGTTGTCCTTATGTTTTTAATCCCTAATAAATTCGATAACTCCTGGAAGAGTTATGATTCAAAATATTTTGCTTGATCGGTGTGAACTTCTAAAAGAACTTCATGTCTCGAAATAACCAGACTTACGAACGCTTCTGCAACTGAATTTGCCCTAATATTTAATGGAATTGCCTCAACCATCTTGAAAAGCAATCTGTAACAACAAGCAAATATCTATTGCCAGAAAAGATTTACTCCTTTAAATAACTTTTCTTTGTTTATAATTGTACTATTTCCACATTTGAATACTTAAAATAACTACTATATTTCTCAAACTTTTTTTGTTAATAATTTTAACGAACAACGAGCGACGGCTAAAACTTCTTGGATGTTACTCAGAACAGTGACCTTGGCAACATATGTCAAGGTCAAAGTCATTGGAGGTGGGTACGTTAATCTAAATATTTACCAAACTTTTTTCCAAAAATAATCCGATCGATTTTTTCTGACTCTTTCTATACATCTTTAATTTCCACATTAGTACAGTATTTGCAAGGATTTTTTTCACAAGAACGTCTAAAAAGTCCATCAACATTATGATGAGAATTCTTTTTCCGATATAATATCTTGAAATCATATTGCTGTAACCTTTCTAACCAACGAGCCAGCTGTTCCAGTCCCTTAAAAGATAATAACCATCGAAGAGAAACATGATCTGTCCGAATAACAAATTTTAATATAATGGTGGAAAGTTTTTATAGAATTGACTATAGCTAACAATTCACGATAAGTCACAATAATTCCTCTCCGTCTTACTCAAAACCCGACTATAATCGGCGATGACTCTATACCGATCTCCTTGCGTCTGAGACAAAACAGCGCCAATCCCATGATCAGAAACTGTATCTAAAATAAATTTCCCTTCTTCCATAGGAAAAGTTAATACTGGAGAAAAAATTAAAAACTGCTTTAATTTTTCAAAAGAAGTCTGATATTGCGATGACTATACAAACTTCATTTGATTTTCCGTCAACAAATACAGAGATTTTGCGATAAGAGAAAATCCCTTAACAAACTTTCGGTAATACAAGCAAAAACTAAGAAAACTCCGGATCTGTTTTTTAATCTAAAGAATCGGTCAATTTGTTACAGCGGAAATATTCTCTGGATCAGTTGCAACTTCATCACTCAAAATTATATGACCCAAATTCACTGACTTGTTTAAGAAAAAATATTTTTTCGGATTAAGTTTTAATTGCGCGGATTTGAAACGAAGAAATACAATTTAATCGTTAAATCATTTCTTCAAAAGTCCTACCAAAATTAATAACATCATCCAAATAAACTAGATAAGTTTTAGATAGTAGACTACACAAGGTTTGCTTCATCAACCGTTTAAAAGTTGCAGGGGCATTACACAAACCAAATAACAGTATAACCGGTATAACAGTAAATTACCAAAGGCTATTTCCAATGGAAAATGCTGTCTTTTCTCTATCTTCTAAACGAATCTTTATCTGCCAATATCCACTTTTGAGGTCTAAAGTAAAAAACCAAGAATTTCCTGACAATTGATCTATTGTGTCATCAATCTGAGGCAATAGGTAAAAAATCTTTTACTAAAACGGCATTTAATTTCCAATAATCTATACACAAACGAATTGAACCATCCTTTTTTTTAAACATGACTGCACATGACATCTAAGATCTTCGAGACTCTTCAATCATTTCTTGTTTTTTTATTTTATTAATCATCACTTCTGCTTCAGAATGCAAATGCAGAAAAATTCTTCGAGGAACTTGCTTGATAGGATGAAAATCATTCAATTCTACTCTACGCTCTATAAGGTCACAATTTCCAGCAATAATGTCTTCGGAAAAGATGTCCTGAAATTTAGTCAAAAGTTCGGCAAACATTTCCTTCTGATCCAAATCTAAATCCACCGAATCTCGTTCAAATAATTCTGTTAAAAAAATAAGAACTTTATTTCCTTGATGATTTAATCGTGCGCAAACTAATTCCTCTTGTGGAATTCTCAATGCGGAACAAAAATTAAACTCTATTCCCGTAAGAGACAAGATACCTATTTCCAAAAGATAATCATCATTTATATTTGCAACAAATATATATAGGTAACTCTAAAGAGAATTTTCTCAGTTAACCTTGTTACGTCCTGGTGACTCCACGATTCCTTCCTTCCGCGAAGTTGCGGCAATGATAATCGATCGGTGATAGAAATGAGTCGTTCGGTAAATAGAGCATCTTGCGTCACACATTCCTTAACATTTAGTCAGTTTTCAATATCTATATCTACGAGTAACCGTGAGAAAGACGCGACGAAACCGCGCCCCGGTCGCCTAAAAATAAATAAAAACCAGTAGATACCCTCGCAGTAGAATTCTCCAGCGGAATAAAAAGCTGATAACGGAAGGATAATAAAATTCTCACAAAACATCTGATGAATACAACTAAATCAATAATGACGAAACTTCTGTGACGTCACATTGGACTTTGTCTAATCAAATCACGGGCGTAAGGGAAACCTAGAGCTCAAGGGACTCTGAACTGATCACCAATCGACGATCGTCATGAGTGAAAATTTGAAAAGTAGGAGAAACACCCCGCCTAATGAGGACACTGGCACAACTTTTAATTCGTTAAAGTTTTGGAAGATTCCCACTCTTAGAAATTAGAATACACCCCGAAAAGAAAGATATAAAAAGAGGACTCGAACTCACTTACGCACTTATTCTCCAGTCTTCAGCTTCACGCAGTCTTACTCTGTGCTTTTGCACCGAAATTCACGAGTTAGGCACTTGTGCCACCAGTGTCCTCACTTGGCATCATCTCCAGAGCAACCACGAATCGAACACCGGGTTGCCGACATGAGACACAGAGCAAAACACCGTACAAAAATTCGCCACCCCTCCACCTCTGAATTACTATTGAAAAAAGTAAGTTTAATTGAATAATTTTTCTTTTCCTCCTTTTTGTCTTGTTTCTTATTTAAATCAAAACTTTCCGAAGAATGTTTCATTCTTTTAAATTATCAACCCGTTTCGGTAATAAATCTTAGAAAATTTTAAATCCTGATCTTAATCTAACACATATGCGAGCGACCAATTTTATATTTCTGACCGTTCTTAACATATACACTTATTTACTTATACATATTGATTTTGATTTTATGTTTTTATCCTTTAATCAAATTATTTTTATATTGTATCACCCAGTCAGATTCTAAATTTAACAGTAAAATCATTCCATCTTATTTTGACTGATGACCTCCGTATCAATGTAACACCCGCGAACTAACACACACACTCACACACATTCAGATGAAAACTAATATTTTTATTTTTATTTTTTCTTTCTTATATATAATCATGTATACCCATCATTCATTTTAAAATTAAATAAATTTATATTTGTTAATTAAATAAATCTTTATTAACCCCCACTCATTCCCAGTAGAAAGATCGCACTTGGTCCCATCCCGCGTAAAAAAGATTAAATTCTCTTACCAAAAAGGGACCACCGAACGAACGTCTGAATAACCAGCGTAACAGCGACTCAGTCGTTTACCTGCTTTTCGGATCTGTCAGTTCGTTCGACCCGATACCAAACGCCACGAGACGTTTGACTTCGGGATAAATAAAGATAGTTGTTGCGCCCTTCCGTCAACTCATCCTTCCTCGAGTCTGGACGTAACAATATACATATCGTTTAATTTTATATATTCTCTTCTTTTTTGTTCGACAATCTATTACAAAGGGCGAGTTTCATGCTATTAAAAACGCGAGTTACAAGTAAGAACGGGCGAGTTAAACACCTCGCTGAAACGTTTAAGCAACGAGCGTGTAATTAAAAACACGAGAGAAACGGTAATCTGGCTTTCGAGATCCGCACACGGTAGAAAGGTCACATGCTCTCGGCAAGATAGAGCTATGCCATCGATTTCCGGTCTCTCTTTCTCTCTCTCTCTTTCTCACCTCCCTCTCTCTACCCTCTCACTCTCCCTCAACAGCTATCTCCCCCTCCTCACTCCCTCTTTCTTCTCCTTTTTTCCTTCTGTCTATCTCTTTCTCCATGTCTTTTGCTTATTCTTCCTAAGTCATATTCATCCATTTCATTTATACCATTAACCCTCGCAATAAATAAGCGCTACATTACACTCACTCTGGTTTCGTAGTGAAAACCAGATCCGGTACTACATATACCATAACATCCAGCCGAATAGCAATTCGCAGGAGTCGGAGGACTCGCCGTCCGTTAAACTGCGAATTTTGCGACACGCATATAAAAAAGCCACTACGCGTATCCACTGAACCTACTCTCCCTTCCTCGCCAAGATACTCCTCTCCCAGTTATTCCCCCATCTACTTCCTCGACTATATCACTCCTGCGACCGAACCTCCGCTTTCCCCACGTTCCTTCTCCTCACTATCCACCATCTTTTTGAACAATTCACCCCCATCTTCCTCGCAGTGTTCAGAAGCAGATTTCATAAAAGCTATAGAGGAGTTCTGCTTAGAGATAGTTGTTGCGCCCTTCCGTCGACTCATCCTTCCTCGAGTCTGGACGTAACAACCTTAACAATCATCTTAACAATCATATTGGAGTGAATCGGAACTATCTTCCCAGTGGGATAAGCTAATCTTATATTTTTCTCTACACTTTTAATTTCAAGGCAATTTATTAAATTGCTGCTCAAAATTGACACATCCGAACCCAGGGTATCTATTTTAAATTTACACGGTTTTCCGTTAGCAAGCTTCCCTTTATAACAAAACAATTAACAATTTCGTACACGTTTTAACTTAAAGTTAATATCCGGGGTTTTCACTCTATTTATCGATCTGACCCCGTTCCATTCGACAAAACCTAGTTTGACTTTTGAATGTCAAACACCGGGCATTCTGCACGAAAGTATCCCACTTTTCCACATTGTCAATATTCCTTATTTCCTTCCGAAAATTTAGTTTTTGTATTATTTTCCCGAAATCAACTTCTTGTTATTTTTAATTTTATTCCTTTTAAAATTAATTATCTGCTTCGAATTATTTGGAGATCTATTATTTCGATAAAAACGATTTTTTCTTTCCAAAAAATTATTTTCCTGAATTACTCGTATAGCCATAGCTTTTTCAATCGCGGATTTTAATGAATTGATATTTTTTAATTGTAATGTCCTCTTCAAAAATCCATCTGTCAACGCAGCAATAATTTGAGCACAGGCGATCTTATGCGTACGAACTTCATGCGTACACTCAAAATAAGCTAAACGCGATAATCGTTTAATCTCCGCCCCCAAAGTTGATAAATTTTCCTTTGTCTTTTCTCTTCTATTGCGTAAATTGCGAATAGTAAAATTGAGCAAGATGTCCTTCCCCGAAATGCAATTCTAATTTATTTCAAAAATCATCAAATTAAAATTGTTCTCCACTTCCAAAGCATTCTAAAACCGAATGCGCTTTTCCCCATAAACAAACGGCGAGTACTACCGACTTCGCGGAATCGGTCCAATTGTTTGCTCTCGAAATTATTTCAAATTGTGTTAAGAATTCGCACAATGGGACACTTCCGTCAAATAAATTCGGTTTAATTTTGTATTCGATCTCATAAGTTACATTTCTAGTCGCGAAAACCCTATTTTCCCCTACAAATTTTGAATTATAAGAACGATTTAACTCATTTAAGCGTTGTTCCATTTGCTGTTGCGCCTCCTCTCGTTGACAAAAGAGAGTCTCGAGAACCTTCTCCCGCAGCTGTTGTTGCCGCTGTTCTTCCCGCAAGCTCCGTATCTCCGTCAACACTTCCGATAGTAGTAAACCATTGGGCTGTGAATTAGTGGGCTCTTTCATCGATTCTCTCAGACGCGTTCTTTTCCGGGATGGAGCTGCCGTTGCCATTTTATCTAAACTAACACTGTCGTCCGAAGATCCCGGATGAGCCCCCAAAATGTTACGTCTGCTAGTTCGAGATAAATCGAAGCGCACCACGCAACCATTTAACACTCGCAAATCGTGTCACTTCCGCATCCGAATAAATAGTAGAACACTCATTTAAGGAATCTTCCTAGTTTGACACTCTGAAAATAAGGCGAGTTTTGGGAATTTTTTTTAAAAGAAAAGTATAAAACATATTAATTCTAAACTTTGCACGTTTATTAAATAACATTTCAAGTATATCTTAAATTTTTTTCAAACAAAAATATTTATTTGTTTCGGAGTTATAGTAGTCCAACCAGGGTCCATATTCGCCA